CTCCCTCTTGAGATGGTTCGTCGAATTGGATGACGCCATAAGGGCGCGTCGCATCGACGACGGGGATATGCAAGCTGCATTTGCCCAATCAAATCTGGCAGGACGTGCCAAGACTTGGGCACTGGGGCTCAAGTTGCACGACCCATATGCGTTTGGGTCGTTGGAAGTCTTCAAGTCGCGGCTCAGAAAAACGTTTGAACCGCCTAGAGCTGAGTTCAGGGCTCGAACCGAACTCTTGAAGCTCAAGCAGGGTAAGCGTGATGTGCACGCTTACGCTCAACACATACGACATCTTACGAGTTGTATAAGTTCCAATCCAGTGGATGAACACACGTTGGTTTCGGTGTTCATGCAGGGTCTTGCGGATGGTCCCGTCAAGACTCACCTGTTCCGGCTTGAACTAGATTCACTAGAACAAGCCATTTCCATTGCGGAGCAGGAAGACTTCAGTCTGAGACAGGCTCGCGCCAGCTCGACATCATATCGTCAACCGAGACGATATGACAACGGAGGTCCAGAGCCGATGGAACTCTGTTATGTAGAGAGCGAGAAGGTTCGCTCTACAGGCTACAAGAAGTTGCAGAGATGCAACAGATGTCAGAAGACAGGACACTACGCTTACGAGTGTAGTGCATCTCGTCCAGTGTCTCGCGACACTGGGCGTAGTGACCGTCCACCCATGAGAAAGCGGCAGGGACGAGGGTCCGCAGTTGGTGCAAAGACGCAACAACGGGATGGACCGTCAAAAAACGGACAGGATCAGTAGGTGCGGAGCACCCTACTGATCCAGCAACGTCAAGAGAATTTGTAGGCCTCTTGATGAAGGTTGCTCCCAACACACAGACGTTGTGCGTTGCTGCTCTAGGTAATGAGATCTCACTCATTACCTTGAAACTCGAAGTGACGAATAAGTTGTCCCTTCGAGCTCTAGTCGATTGTGGGGCGTCCAACAATTTTGTGCGACGCCAATCGCTAGAAGATGGTCACTTTAAATTCAGTGAATGTGACACACCTCCTACGAGGATGACGGTACGTCTTGCGACAGGCGCATCCGTAACCGTCATGAAGCGTATAGTGAAGATTCACTATACGCTAGAAGATACCCAATATGACGATAACTTTATCGTATTGGATTTGGATGACAAATTTGATGTCATCCTTGGAATACCGTGGCTCAGAAGGTACGAACCACGGGTAAACTGGCAACATCGGACAGTAACGATGCCTGCCGCTTGTTCATCAGATGGCCATCTGATGAACGTTTTGGAGCGTCCACAAGCGTGTGGATGTACTACGAGTGAGTGCGATGGCCTCACTTGTGGTACGGTCGTTAGTACGACTGCACAAAACCTTAGTGTACCAAACAGTTACACTTCGGAGCAAAGTTCCGGCGGCTGTGAGGAAACACAGGCTGCGCCGAAGGTCCACCACTCGAATAAGTCGGGTGGACTGGGACAAAGATGTATCCCTAGAGGGGAACATCTAGAAGAGAAACAATCGATCGCTCAGGTTAAGCGAAACGATAATCCTGGATCGACTGGAGAGTCTTTCGTAGAGGATCTCGCTGTGGTTGCGCAACCCCAGCTAGAGGAAGTAAAGGGAATAAGTCCCAAGATTACAAATACGGCGGAAATAAGTTCCCCGAAACCCGCGGGAATAAGTCCCCGGGAAGACGAAGGAATAAGTCCTTCGAAGCCTGAGGGAATAAGTCCCCAGGAAATGACAGAGACATTGAATGTCATAGTCAATAACGGATCATGTGTAGGCGCTTATACACTTGATCTGATTGCGCCTCCGAAGTTAACTTCGGAGATCACTCAGTTGCCAACGCTCGAACATAAAAGGTTCTTGCGTGATCTGCGTAGTGGCAAAGTCAAGCAGATCTGCATACTCGTCGCTGACGACGAGTGTGTAACCGACATAAGGTCAGCAACAGTGTTTACTGAGAACGAGAGAGTTCTCAGTAGTTCATCTATGGACGAGAGTGTCCTAGATGAAAAGACACGAATTGAGCGATACGACTCCCAATCATGGGAATCGCTCAAGGAAAATCCTCTCTATGAAGATTTGGTTGAATTCAAGGATGTATTCCCTGAAACTGTTCCGTGCGAATTACCGAAGGATAAAGGTATTCGACACGAAGTCGAGCTTAAACCAGGCTCGAAGTACTGTGTCATGAAGCAGTGGCCACTGCCTCGTGAACAAGTACTTGCGATCGACAAGTTCTTTGCCGATCGTTCAGCAGCGGGCCATGTGAGGGAATCAACTTCCCCACATAGCTCTCCGACCTTCTGTGTGCGAAAAGCAACAGGAGGGTGGCGGATAGTGCACGCGTTCAACAAATTGAACGCTGCAACGGTACCGGCTCAGACGCCGATACCGAGGAAGGACGTAATCATTGATGGTATGTCAAAGAGTACCATCTTTTCGTCCATGGATTTGATGGATGGCTTCTATCAAATCCTTAATGCGAGAACAGGATATACCCTATACCGCAGTTAGCACGCCTAGCGGCATGCTCTGGGAATGGCTAGTAATGCCACAAGGGGCTCAGTAATGCCCCTGCCACGTTCAACAGGTGTGTACCACATCTGTTGAGGCCAGTACGAGAATTCGCGCCGAGTTATTTCGATGACGTATTCATCCATAGTCGAGCTATGGATGGAAAGTCGGACGTTGAGGTTCACAGGTACCACGTCCGACAAGTTCTTACAATCATGCGAAAGCATCAACTGTATGCAAACCTCAAGAAGTGTATATTTGCAGCAAGCGAAATACCACTTCTTGGGTGCATCGTTGGTAAGAACGGTGTACGTCCTGATCCCGAAAAGATCAAGGCGATCACCGACTGGCCTGTGCCGGTCGATGTCAAAGGTCTTCGAAAATTCCTTGGGCTAGCGGCGTATTTGCATAAGTATTCACGCAATTACGCCGAGATGACTGTGCACCTCTCTCGTTTGTTGAAAAAGAACGAGAGGTGGTTATGGAACGCTGAATGTCAACGCTCCTTTGAGGGTATCAAGCAGAGCTTGATACAATCCCCAGTCCTAGCAATAGCCGATCAGGACAGGCCATTTCATGTGGTCTGTGATGCCAGCGATTTCGCAATCGGCTGTGCATTAATGCAGTACGATCTTGAAGGCGTTGAACGCGTCGTCTGCTATCAGTCGCGTCAGCTGCAACCAGCTGAGCGGAACTATCTAGTGCATGACAAGGAACTCCTTGCCATGAAGTATGCACTCGCGAAGTTCAGAGTCTATCTATTAGGAGATAGACCCTTCGTTGTTTACACTGACCATGCGTCATTACGCACGGCAGTGAACAGCCCGCACCTTTCACAACGAATGGCGCGGTGGTTGTCATTCTTTGCAGAATACAACTTTACGGTCGAGTACAAACCAGGACGACTTAATGTCGTCGCTGATGCACTCTCACGTCGTCCCGACTTTGAAACAGTCGCGAAACCCAACAGTGAGACAGTCACTGTTGCGGTTATGACGTCCTCAGTCCCATCTACAATGTTGTATGATGATGTGAGGCGGGCATACGCCCAAGATGGTGAGATAGTGAAGTTGTTGTCACATCTCTCCCAACCATCCCGAGAATCGTTGAAACGATTGTCGCCTGCGTATCGATCTGCATCAGATCGATACACTACTCGTAACGGTTTACTGTATTATACAGCCGTTTCTGGTGACACACCACGTGTTGTCATTCCAGATGATACTGATCTGCGTTTGCGGATCATGTTCGAGTATCACGATGCTCCTATAGGAGGACATCGTGGCCGAGAGAAAACATATCTCACGGTAAGTCGAGACTTTTACTGGCCCCGCCAGTATCAGTTTGTGCGAAAGTATGTTCGCGCATGCGAAGTCTGCCAACGAGTGAAGTCAAGTCCTTCACTGCGTGCACCTTTACAGCCTCTACCGGTTCCGGCTGAGTGCTGGGAATCCATCTCAATGGATTTCGTCTTCGGGTTACCCAAAGACGCACGCGGGAATACGGGTATTCTCGTATTTGTTGACAGATTCAGCAAAATGGTACACCTTGTGGCTGTACCAGAGACAATCACGGCAAGTGGCTGTGCTTGTGTCTTTATTGACACCATCTTCCGACTTCATGGGTTGCCCCGTGAACTCGTATCAGACAGAGATCCACGATTCACTGCTGATTTCTGGCGTTCCGTGTTCAAATCACTCGGAACGCGCTTGAAGATGTCAACATCTGATCATCCAGAGTCAGATGGTCAGACGGAACGTGCCAATCGTGTCCTTGAAGAGATACTTCGAGGATACGTACACTCCTTTAAGAGTTGGAGTGAGTTTTTGCCAATGGTAGAGTTTGCCATCAACAACTCGGTGCATGCGTCCACGACACATACACCGTTTTACGTGAATGGCTTGCGCCATCCGCGTGTACCCACCTTACTAGAGTGTAACTCTGGTTTAAGGGGGGAGGGACTCGCGCGAGCAAAAACCGATTTGGTTCACGCTCATCACGCTCTGACGAAGAAGTCATTGCGTTTGATGCCGATATCGATAACATCGATATCGAAGAAGATGATGCCAGTGAGAGTGCGGAAGCCCTCACTGAAGACAATGATCCCAGTGAGAGTGCGGAAGCCCTCACTGAAGAAAAGGTTGTTGTTGCTGCAGTGCGCTCACAGCACACTGAAGCTAACGAGTCATCAGATGAGTTCATACTGGCTCGTGAAACGGTAGTCCGTTTTGTGCAAGACTCCATCGCCGAAGCGGTGGATAAGCAAAAGCAAAACGCTGACAAGAATGGAAGGGCAAACACTCTTTTATTTAATAAAGGTGACTTAGTCCTACTGTCTACGGTTAATCTACCAAAGCATGTAGTGACTAACTTGGGTAGCAGTAAACTACTACCCAAGTACATTGGCCCATTTCGTGTATTGCACCGCCTAGGCAATGCATACACGATCGAGTTACCACGTAAGATGCGAACGCATCCCACGTTTTACGTTGGTCGGCTTAAGCCGTACCATCAGTACGCTGCTTCTTCCGATGAAGAACGCCCTTGCGCTCAAGCATCTCGCAGAGAGCCTTGTGCTCCCGATGGTGGGCATCAACAAGGGTCTGAAGAGCAGTTATCTCAGCCCGAGACCGATCAACAATCCCACGAGCTACCCTTAGCTCGTCACGAAGAGATGTCAGAGCTCTCTCGTTCTCAAGCTGAGCAAAGGCAAACTCAGCTCGATGCTTCAAGACAGTGGTGACAATTTGGAGACGCCTATTCCGCTCATGCTCGAGAGGTGCGTAACCCTTGCGTTACCGTCGCGATCAAAGGAAGCTCTCGGGAACACACCGATCCACATGATCGTGTGGAGAGCGTCTTTCCTCCTCCTCCACCTCCATTAGAGGACTCTCGCGGTGGCCAGCGCTATCTAGTTGAGCAGCTGTTGAACCACCGCGACGTGAACGGACGTCGGACGAGTTACCTCGTCCGGTGGCGCGGCTATCCCCCGTCCTGGGATTCTTGGGAGCCCCGCTCCCAACTGATGGTTGACGTACTGGGTCTGGTCGAGCAGTACGACGCGGCACATCCTGTGCCGCAGAAGGACCGCCGGAGAAAGTCTTCCCGGCACGGTCGTAAAGGGATTTCAGGTTGTCAATCCCTTCGTACATCTCAGTAGAGACACGTACGCGCCACCACGGGCTGGTAAGGAGGTAAGCCTCCTTAGGTGCTCGTGCAGAGTTGTTCACACAACATGGGCACGAGTCTCCCCAAGAGAGGCAGGGTAATCCTTTCTCCCTTGACAGACGATGCAGCTTGTAGCGTGCACCTGTCGGGGTTCGCTTTCAAACTTATCACGAGCTTTGATAAGTTTGTCGTTCCAAGCGTCACGACCTACATCCTCGAGGTTATGGATGTAGGCGTTCCACGCCTGAAGTAGTGAGGGACCATCACGTTTGTGATTCCCACTGTACCATCGATGTCTGAAGAAAGCATCGATGAAGAATTCGTGTTCAGCGCGATAGTCTTTCGCGCTGGGGTCAAGGTGATGGATCCTTGACGAATCGAACAATCGTGTTCGATAACGATCACTCGTCGTCGCCGACAAGTGATCCATGACGGATTTAGGAGGCATCCATGCCTTCTTCTCAGGAGCGAGACGCAAGACATTGCGGTCCCGCTCTTCCTGCGACGTGCCGAAAGAAGTACTGGCACCTCGCTGTGAATTGGTGTCCATAGGAGAACCGACACCACTATTAGCGCCCGAGTCTCGCGACCTCGAGCGCCCTTCTGGCGATGGTTCATCTGATTCATCAGATGAACCAAAGATGCTGCGACGCAAAGCATCGTCCATGCCACGGTTGGCAGGCGGCTTCGATTCGCTCGCCGATATACGGATCCGTCATCCGTATCAGGAGAGTACGAGACACCGAGCTCGTACTCTGTGAAGACACGAGTGTCTTCATGACCAGCGCCTGCATCACCAAGTGACACAGGCTGGGTCGCTTCAGCAACCGATGGGACATCAGTTGCTGTTGTTTCTTGCTTCGGCGTCCGCAGAGACGTGCAGACGCGCTCTCGGCGGCCTTGCTCGCGCATCGCATGGGCTTGTTTACCATGCGATGAGATGTTGGAAAGTGGACGCGGACCAACAAGTGCAAACCCTGTCCCAAATGATTTGGGACGAGTATCCATTTAGTCAATCAGTCACTAAAGTGACTGATGGTTAAGGGGGGGGGTGATGTAACGGGGTGAATCGTTACATAACAATTTATAAGAAATTGTTAATAGAATATAACTATAAGAGTTGCATTCTCAGAGTATTGTCATAAGGACAAATATTCTGTAGCACTTACAAGTAGTTCCTAATTGGTTGATATAGGCCATTATATCAACCAACGAAGACGCGCCACGACAGACGCACGCAATGAGTGGTGAGCAGGTAACTGATTTACACATTTGTATTTAGACATAGTTAGATGAAGATAAATAGTGAATTTTTAAAAGACATTAACTATACTAAATACAGTTCTACTTTTTACTCTAACCAAGTACTCGCTTCTAGTTACCGTCTTCCTCTGCACGTACTAGTGTACGTGAAGTTACGAGGCACCGCCTTATTTTGTCATCAGAATAAGTAGCTTGTACTATCACCAGTACTACAGTATCTTGTACTGTCACCAGTACTACAGTACAAGCTACGTATACTGTCACCAGTACTACAGTATCTTGTACTGTCACCAGTACTACAGTACAAGCTACTTGTTCTGATGACAGAATAAGACGGTGCCTCGTAACTTCACGTACACTCGTACGTGCAGAGGAAGACGGTAAGAAGAAGCGAGTACTTGGTTAGAGTAAAAAGTAGAACTGTATTTAGTACAGTTAATGTCTGCAATAAATCACTATTCATCTTCATCTAACTATGTCTAAATACAAATGTGTATGTCAACTGTCTGCTCACCACTCATTGCGTGCGTCTGTCGTGGCGCGTCTTCGTTGGTTGATATAATGGCCTATATCAACCAATCAGGAACTACTCGTAAGTGCTACAGAATATTTGTCTTTATGACAATACTCTGAGAATGCAACTCGTATAGTTATATTCTATTAACAATTTCTTATGAATTGTTATGTAACGATTCACCCCGTTACATCACCCCCCCCCTTAACCATCAGTCACTTTAGTGACTGATTGACTAAATGGATACTCGTCCCAAATCATTTGGGACAGGGTTTGCACTTGTTGGTCCGCGTCCACTTTCCAACATCTCATCGCATGGTAAACAAGCCCATGCGATGCGCGAGCAAGGCCGCCGAGAGCGCGTCTGCACGTCTCTGTGCGGACGCCGAAGCAGAAACAACAGCAACTGATGTCCCATCGGTTGCTGAAGCGACCCAGCCTGTGTCACTTGGTGATGCAGGCGCTGGTCATGAAGACACTCGTGTCTTCACAGAGTACGAGCTCGGTGTCTCGTACTCTCCTGATACGGATGACGGATCCGTATCAACGGCGATCGAATCGAAGCCGCCTGCCAACCGTGGCATGGACGATGCTTTGCGTCGCAGCATCTTTGGTTCATCTGATGAATCAGATGAACCATCGCCGAAGCGAAGGCGCTCGAGGTCGCGAGACTCGGGCGCTAATAGTGGTGTCGGTTCTCCTATGGACTCCACTTCACAGCGAGGTGCCAGTACTTCTGTCGGCACGTCGCAGGAAGAGCGGGAACGCAATGTGTTGCGTCTCGCTCCCGAGAAGAAGGCATGGATGCCTCCAAAATCAGTCATGGATCACTTGTCGGCGACGACGAGTGATCGTTATCGAACACGATTGTTCGATTCGTCAAGGATCCATCACCTTGACCCCAGCGCAAAAACTATCGCGCTGAGAATGAATTCTTCATCGATGCTTTCTTTAGACATCGATGGTACAGTGGGAATCACAAACGTGATGGTCCCTCACTACTTCAGGCGTGGAACGCCTACATCCATAACCTTGAGGATGTAGGTCGTGACGCTTGGAACGACAAACTTGTCAAAGCTCGTGATAAGTTTGAAAAGCGAACCCCGACAGGTGCACGCTACAAGCTGCATCGTCTGTCAAGGGAGAAAGGATTACCCTGCCTCTCTTGGGGAGACTCGTGCCCATGTTGTGTAAACAACTCTGCACGAGCACCTAAGGAGGCTTAACTCCTTACCAGCCCGTGGTGGCGCGTACGTGTCTCTACTGAGATGTACGAAGGGATTGACAACCTGAAATCCCTTTACGACCGTGCCGGGAAGACTTTCTCCGGAGGTCCTTCTGCGGCACAGGATGTGCCGCGTCGTACTGCTCAACCAGACCCAGTACGTCAACCATCAGTTGGGAGCGGGGCTCCCAAGAATCCCAGGACGGGGGATAGCCGCGCCACCGGACGAGATAACTCGTCTGACGTCCGTTCACGTCGCGGTGGTTCAACAGCTGCTCAACTAGATAGCGCTGGCCACCGCGAGAGTCCTCTAATGGAGGTGGAGGAGGAGGAAAGACGCTCTCCACACGATCATGTGGATCGGTGTGTTCCCGAGAGCTTTTTGATCGCGTAACGCAAGGGTTACGCGACGATCTCGAGCATGAGCGGAATAGGCGTCTCCAAACGGCGGACACTGCCTTGAAGCATCGAGCTGAGTTTGCCTTTGCTCAGCTTGAGAACGAGAGAGCTCTGACATCTCTTCGTGACGAGCTAAGGGTAGCTCGTGGGATTGTTGATCGGTCTCGGGCTGAGATAACTGCTCTTCAGACCCTTGTTGATGCCCACCATTGGGAGCACAAGGCTCTCTGCGAGATGCTTGAGCGCAAGGGCGTTCTTCATCGGAAGAAGCTGCGTACAGATGGTACGGCTTAAGCCGACCAACGTAAAACGTGGGATGCGTTCGCATCTTACGTGGTAACTCGATCGTGTATGCATTGCCTAAGCGGTGCAATACCCGAAATGGGCCGATGTACTTGGGTAGTAGTTTACTGCTACCCAAGTTAGTCACTACATGCTTTGGTAGATTAACCGTAGACAGTAGGACTAAGTCACCTTTATTAAATAAAAGAGTGTTTGCCCTTCCATTCTTGTCAGCGTTTTGCTTTTTGCTTATCCACCGCTTCGGCGATGGAGTCTTGCACAAAACGGACTACCGTTTCACGAGCCAGTATGAACTCATCTGATGACTCGTTAGCTTCAGTGTGCTGTGAGCGCACTGCAGCAACAACAACCTTTTCTTCAGTGAGGGCTTCCGCACTCTCACTGGGATCATCTGTCTTCAGTGAGGGCTTCCGCACTCTCACTGGCATCATCTTCTTCGATATCGATGTTATCGATATCGGCATCAAACGCAATGACTTCTTCGTCAGAGCGTGATGAGCGTGAACCAAATCGGTTTTTGCTCGCGCGAGTCCCTCCCCCTTAAACCAGAGTTACACTCTAGTAAGGTGGGTACACGCGGATGGCGCAAGCCATTCACGTAAAACGGTGTATGTGTCGTGGACGCATGCACCGAGTTGTTGATGGCAAACTCTACCATTGGCAAAAACTCACTCCAACTCTTAAAGGAGTGTACGTATCCTCGAAGTATCTCTTCAAGGACACGATTGGCACGTTCCGTCTGACCATCTGACTCTGGATGATCAGATGTTGACATCTTCAAGCGCGTTCCGAGTGATTTGAACACGGAACGCCAGAAATCAGCAGTGAATCGTGGATCTCTGTCTGATACGAGTTCACGGGGCAACCCATGAAGTCGGAAGATGGTGTCAATAAAGACACAAGCACAGCCACTTGCCGTGATTGTCTCTGGTACAGCCACAAGGTGTACCATTTTGCTGAATCTGTCAACAAATACGAGAATACCCGTATTCCCGCGTGCGTCTTTGGGTAACCCGAAGACGAAATCCATTGAGATGGATTCCCAGCACTCAGCCGGAACCGGTAGAGGCTGTAAAGGTGCACGCAGTGAAGGACTTGACTTCACTCGTTGACAGACTTCGCATGCGCGAACATACTTTCGCACAAACTGATACTGGCGGGGCCAGTAAAAGTCTCGACTTACCGTGAGATATGTTTTTCCTCGGCCACGATGTCCTCCTATAGGAGCATCGTGATACTCGAACATGATCCGCAAACGCAGATCAGTATCATCTGGAATGACAACACGTGGTGTGTCACCAGAAACGGCTGTATAATACAGTAAACCGTTACGAGTAGTGTATCGATCTGATGCAGATCGATACGCAGGCGACAATCGTTTCAACGATTCTCGGGATGGTTGGGAAAGATGTGACAACAACTTCACAATCTCACCATCTTGGGCGTATGCCCGCCTCACATCATCATTCAACGTTGAAGATGGAACTGAGGACGTCATAACCGCAACAGTGACTGTCTCACTGTTGGGTTTCGCGACTGTTTCGAAGTCGGGACGACGTGAGAGTGCATCAGCGACGACATTAAGTCGTCCTGGTTTGTACTCAACCGTAAAGTTGTATTCTGCAAAGAATGACAACCACCGCGCCATTCGTTGTGAAAGGTGCGGGCTGTGCCGTGCGTAATGACGCATGGTCAGTGTAAACAACGAAGGGTCTATCTCCTAATAGATAGACTCTGAACTTCGCGAGTGCATACTTCATGGCAAGGAGTTCCTTGTCATGCACTGGACAGTTCCGCTCAGCTGGTTGCAGCTGACGCGACTGATAGCAGACGACGCGTTCAACGCCTTCAAGATCGTACTGCATTAATGCACAGCCGATTGCGAAATCGCTGGCATCACAGACCACATGAAATGGCCTGTCCTGATCGGCTATTGCTAGGACTGGGGATTGTATCAAGCTCTGCTTGATACCCTCAAAGGAGCGTTGACATTCAGCGTTCCATAACCACCTCTCGTTCTTTTTCAACAAACGAGAGAGGTGCACAGTCATCTCGGCGTAATTGTGTGAATATTTGTGCAAATACGCCGCTAGCCCAAGGAATTTTCGAAGACCTTTGACATCGACCGGCACAGGCCAGTCGGTGATCGCCTTGATCTTTTCGGGATCAGGACGTACACCGTTCTTACCAACGATGCACCCAAGAAGTGGTATTTCGCTTGCTGCAAATATACACTTCTTGAGGTTTGCATACAATTGATGCTTTCGCATGATTGTAAGAACTTGTCGGACGTGGTACCTGTGAACCTCAACGTCCGACTTTCCATCCATAGCTCGACTATGGATGAATACGTCATCGAAATAACTCGGCGCGAATTCTCGTACTGGTCTCAACAGATGTGATACACATCTGTTGAACGTGGCAGGGGCATTACTGAGCCCTTGTGGCATTACTAGCCATTCCCAGAGCATGCCGCTAGGCGTGCTAACTGCGGTATAGGGTATATCCCGTTCCCGCATAAGGATTTGATAGAAGCCATCCATCAAATCCATGGACGAAAAGATGGTACTCCTTGACATACCATCAATGATTACGTCCTTCCTCGGTATCGGCGTCTGAGCCGGTACCGTTGCAGCGTTCAACTTGTTGAACGCGTGCACTATCCGCCACCCTCCTGTTGCTTTTCGCACACAGAAGGTCGGAGAGCTATGTGGGGAAGTTGATTCCCTCACATGGCCCGCTGCTAAACGATCGGCAAAGAACTTGTCGATCGCAAGTACTTGTTCACGAGGCAGTGGCCACTGCTTCATGACACAGTACTTCGAGCCTGGTTTAAGCTCGACTTCGTGTCGAATACCTTTATCCTTCGGTAATTCACACGGAACAGTTTCAGGGAATACATCCTTGAATTCAACCAGATCTTTATAAAGAGGATTTGTCTTGAGCGATTCCCATGATTGGGAGTCGTATCGCTCAATTCGTGTCTTTTCATCTAGGACACTCTCGTCCATAGATGAACGACTGAGAACTCTCTCGTTCTCAGTAAACACTGTTGCTGACCTTATGTCGGTTACACACTCGTCGTCAGCGACGAGTATGCAGATCTGCTTGACTTTGCCACTACGCAGATCACGCAAGAACCTTTTATGTTCGAGCGTTGGCAACTGAGTGATCTCCGAAGTTAACTTCGGAGGCGCAATCAGATCAAGTGTATAAGCGCCTACACATGATCCGTTATTGACTATGACATTCAATGTCTCTGTCATTTCCTGGGGACTTATTCCCTCAGGCTTCGAAGGACTTATTCCTTCGTCTTCCCGGGGACTTATTCCCGCGGGTTTCGGGGAACTTATTTCCGCCGTATTTGTAATCTTGGGACTTATTCCCTTTACTTCCTCTAGCTGGGGTTGCGCAACCACAGCGAGATCCTCTACGAAAGACTCTCCAGTCGATCTAGGATTATCGTTTCGCTTAACCTGAGCGATCGATTGTTTCTCTTCTAGATGTTCCCCGCTAGGGATACATCTTTGTCCCAGTCCACCCGACTTATTCGAGTGGTGGACCTTCGGCGCAGCCTGTGTTTCCTCACAGCCGCCGGAACTTTGCTCCGAAGTGTAACCGTTTGGTACACTAAGGTTTTGTGCAGTCGTACTAACGACCGTACCACAAGTGAGGCCATCGCACTCACTCGTAGTACATCCACACGCTTGTGGACGCTCCAAAACGTTCATCAGATGGCCATCTGATGAACAAGCGGCAGGCATCGTTACTGTCCGATGTTGCCAGTTTACCCGTGGTTCGTACCTTCTGAGCCACGGTATTCCAAGGATGACATCAAATTTGTCATCCAAATCCAATACGATAAAGTCATCGTCATATTGGGTATCTTCTAGCGTATAGCGAATCTTCACTATACGCTTCATGACGGTTACGGATGCGCCTGTCGCAAGACGTACCGTCATCCTCGTGGGAGGTGTGTCACATTCACTGAATTTAAAGTGACCATCTTCTAGCGATTGGCGTCGCACAAAATTTTTAGACGCCCCACAATCGACTAGAGCTCGAAGGGACAACTTATTCGTCACTTCGAGTTTCAAGGTAATGAGTGAGACCTCATTACCTAGAGCAGCAACGCACAACGTCTGTGTGTTGGGAGCAACCTTCATCAAGAGGCCTACAAATTCTCTTGACGTTGCTAGACCAGTAGGGTGCTCCGCACCTACTGATCCTGTCCGTTTTTTGACGGTCCATCCCGTTGTTGCGTCTTTGCACCAACTGCGGACCCTCGTCCCTGCCCCTTTCTCATGGGTGGACGGTCACTACGCCCAGTGTCGCGAGACACTGGACGAGGGTGCACTACACTCGTAAGCGTAGTGTCCTGTCTTTTGACATCTGTTGCATCTCTGCAACTTCTTGTAGCCTGTAGAGCGAGCCTTCTCGCTCTCTACATAACAGAGTTCCATCGGCTCTGGACCTCCGTTGTCATATCGTCTCGGTTGACGATATGATGTCGAGCTGGCGCGAGCCTGTCTCAGACTGAAGTCTTCCTGCTCCGCAATGGAAATGGCTTGTTCTAGTGAATCTAGTTCAAGCCGGAACAGGTGAGTCTTGACGGGACCATCCGCAAGACCCTGCATGAACACCGAAACCAACGTGTGTTCATCCACCGGATTGGAACTTATACAACTCGTAAGATGTCGTATATGTTGCGCGTAAGCGTGCACATCACGCTTACCCTGTTTGAGCTTCAAGAGTTCGGTTCGAGCCCTGAACTCAGCTCTAGGCGGTTCAAACGTTTGTCTGAGACTTCCAACGACCCAAACGCATATGGGTCGTGCAACTTGAGCCCCAGTGCCCAAGTCTTGGCACGTCCTGCCAGATTTGACTGGGCAAATGCAACTTGCATATCCCCGTCGTCGATGCGACGCGCCCTTATGGCGTCATCCAATTCGACGAACCATCTCAAGAGGGAGTCTTCTTCGACCCCTCTA